AGAGATATGTAGCATGTACGGCATATTGTCTCATAGTAATGGCACATGTATTTTTTTTTGTATATTAAAAATCGTGTTTGAAATGCGTGGATACAATGAACGGCATTTGTGAAAAACGGAAAAACGACATTTGCGGGAAAAAAAACTAATTTGAAGGCAGGTTTCAATTGACTGGTGGCATTGATTACACTATAGTCAGTTTATTTTCTTAAATATAATTACTGTCAAACTTGGATAGGCGAACAACCTATCGCACAGGACATATGCTCTTGCCAGCCTGGATTTGATAGAGCTGCGCAAGCAAGCCGCAGCGCCAGGGCGGCCTCTAAGGATACCTGGCCACATTCCATTCACTCGAACTGGGTTATCTACTATAAGGCAGACATGCAAAGGCTCGCTGAGTGCAGCAGTTCTAGCGTTTGGATTGACGGATTTGCTACCCATGTAGCTTGACAATTGCTTGAAATGCTCGTATAAGATTTGGCGATCGGCGCGCTTGGTTTCCTGCATAAACAGTTTTAAGTATGTTTTACATCACTGTACATCTAGTGTACATGAGTGTAGTTGCGCGGGCGATAGATGGCGTTAAAACGCGCGATAATGCGTGCATTGTCCCTTCGACCTTTGCCTCGAGCGGCTCGGTCTTACTGTATGAAAAAGGCGATGACATTGTAGTGTTTAACCCTGAGGCAGCTGCTACGTAAACGTCCACGTTCGACGAACGTAATACAGATAACGTATTTGCGTATTCATAGGGGATGGGACTGAGCTTGTGAATTAGGAGCCAGCATGGTGATTGAGTTTTTTAGGTTTTGCACTGTTTTATTACGTGCCTTGCATTTCGATGCAGCTCGACCATTCAAAATGGTTCTTCTAGCAAGCGCAAGCTTTCTGAATGGCAGAAGTTTTGAGCCGTACTTCTTGAGGTCAGACGATTGATTTGTCGTCTTTCGTTGATTCAGAATCAGAAGATGAACCGAACGATCGGGGATGAGGCGTATTTTGGCCCAACGCTATAGTCATTAGACAGTCTATATCTGAGGGTGATAGGACGCCGGTGATTGTTAGTGTCCAGTACTAGTATGTACGTGACAATGTTGAATTATTATTGCGGGGCCAGTATTACTCACTACTAGTACTAGTAGATTAGAACTTGTCAACAATTTTGTCAAACAAAAAAATCGTGAAAAGGGCGACTAAATACAGCTATAGTAAATACAAATTCACTCTAGATTTCATTTTTTTACACTGTATTAACAAACAAGAACACATATTTGACATAGTGAGCATGCAACAGTGAACCATGTATAAGGAGCATAACAACCGCGTGCCTATACAACAAGGAATTGAATACGGTCAAAAAGTCAACGATTTCCGTATGGTTACTGATAGCTGAAAGTCACGATGTCCATGAAATGAAGTACAACAATGGGGAGCACGTAACGGTTAAAAAGCTTACACAGTTAAGTGGTAATACTCGTTATGTGATGTTATGTAGTTTGTTAGTGCTACGGCAGTTGCTGTATTACCCTATAGGCCTGACTGATCAAATAGACTGATAGCTAATGTTAGTAAAGTGCTGAAGAGGTGGACGCCTGGACACATAGACCCTATGAGTCCGTAGGCAATACATTCAGAAACGCGCACAAACACAGTACCGTACATTATGCAATACATCGTATTATATGTCTAGGACTCTAGGCTATAGCAGTACAAAGAAACCTGTAATAAATATTGGAACATTCAGGGTTTATTCATTCTTCTGTATTACATGACAATTATGAATTAGTGGGTTTAAATTACGGTCCCAGTACACTTACTAACCGCTCATAGGGTCTATGTCCCCCAGGGTACTTGCCCGAAACGTACCCTGGGTATGGTCCGATATACCGCGAACGTACCTTGCGTCAACCCTTATTTGATATGGTTAGGATTAGGGTTAGGGGTTTGGCTTAGCGGGAGTAGCGTAGGCGGGACTCCCTAGACTCGTCTAGTGGAGTCAGGCGAGGTACCGGTCGCGCATATTAGATGGTACCGGAGGTAGTTCCCCGGTATATCACACCGTACCCAGGCTACGTTCGGCAGTACCGCCCCCGGGGACATCAGGACCCTTCGCTTGGCTACGCTGTTCTCGCGGCTTCGCGCTCTAGTCCGCTCGCGTGGTAAGTGACGTGGAGCGAAGGTCCCAGTCTACACAGGCCATTTCTCTTGCAAGCATTTCCATTACTGGGCCAAGGTTCGGAACGCGAGAATTTCTGTCAGTTCTTTTCTGTGATTTCGCGTCACACAGCTCGGTTAACGAACAACAAGAACATTATGTTTTTTATAACAAGTGAACACTGTCACGTCCCAAATGTCTACCCTCGTGTGTCCCCCGACTAAATGCGGAGCTGTTCGTGGCCCAGGGCTATGGATCCGTGCGCCGCCAATTACATTCGGGCGCACGGATCCATAGCGGGCCAAGCGCCTGGCATACTGTCGTAGGACGTTCGCGTCGCGTGCGCCTTGCCGCGAGAACTGCGCGCAAGACTTCTGCGCTCTAGGCGCTTTGGATTCAACACACCATCCTTTCGGCAACGCTTCTCTAGTATCCCCGTCTCATCTGGCCTTTATAGTAATATGTAACCATTCATCATGCTTTAAGATGCAATAACTGTTTGTAATAATTAATATATATAAAAAAACTAACACCATATTACTGTGTGTTGGTGATTGGGGAGTGCGACTGTGAGGAAAATGTAAACAACTGTGTCCCAGTTTCATAGTGCAACTGATGAATTAATGTCCTGGTTCGGTCATAAATGTCCATGCCGATCCCCCAATCGCGCTGCCTAATCGCAATCGCACGTCGCAACGATATAATAGAAGTACTAGCCACGAATTGCATTCAGCACCATTAACAACGAGAGAAAAATCACAAACACAAGACACAACAGTTCAGACGACAACCGACCTCTCTCGACGAAACAAATTTTTGTAAGCGTCGCTACTCAAAAACCGACCAAAATTAAAAATTAAGCTCTCAATTAATTAAAACATCGAATCTTGACATATTTACACAAAATGACTTATTTTTGCTTTTATTTGTGATGTTTTCTAGTTTTAAGGATATATAGAATACTCTGAATTTGGATAATGGTTTATTTATAATCATTTTGTAATTCTAATAGCCAATTGTAGCAGCAAGCGACCACTAAAAAATATAAACAAGTTAACAACACGTGACGGGGCGGCGCTGAACTGCAAGATCGCGTATTCGAATTGTCTCCGTCTAAAATTAACTAAACAGAATTTTAAATAGGGCATATTAATATCTAGAGCGTCCGACACATATACAATGGCAATCTCGCGCGATTTAGTTATTATTTCCTTTAACATTAGCTGGCGCTTGCATCAAAATGGCTTTCGGTATGTCATGATGATGATGTTGGTCATTTTATTGTTGATGCCTGAAGACTGACTCGTCTAAAATAGTATTACTATTACTACAGTATTTACTATTAGCAAATTGGAGTCCTAACGCTGCACAGTCACACCACAGGCACTTTGGAGGGCGTTATCAATAAAATATAATGCTAAATAAACTATCGAATTCTATTTACTACCAAAGTCTTAATGTTTCTCTACTGTCTTTCACTATTATTGGCGGACAATTTCCTGTAAATGCGTCGCAAATGCTCCATCTGCAACCAGCAGCGCTGGCTGCTGGCACAACTGAACAAATATATGAGTGTACTATTTATATGCTTAATAGTATACTATAGTAGTATATAGTGTATAAGAAACGATATATAATAATATATTTTATTAGTGTGCAGCAGCTAGTGTGCAGCAGCTAGCGTGCGGCAGCCAGCGTGTGTTGCAGATGAGCATTTGGACGGCATTTACAGGAAATTGTCGGCAATAATAGGTGAAAGATAGTAGAGAAACATTGAGACTTTGGTAGTAAATAGATTTCGTATTTATTTAGCATTAATATCAGGCCTATATTTTATTGAAACGCTCCAAGTGCCTGTGCATGGTCTAGCTCTATAGTCTACTCTACTCTACTCTACTCTACTCTCTAGTCTAGTCTAGCCTTCGCTCCGCCACAGCGCACGATCTATGTTGAAAATGGGCAACGAAACTGCCCCCACTGCTTCCACGAGGAACTGCTCACAGAAGAAAAAAAACATTCATTTATTTATTCATCAAAGTCTTAGTACTACTTGCAAGTTCTTTCAAATTCTGGCGAACATGGGTAACGTCAGCCGAAATGTAGGTAAAAACACGGGGGCAGCCCATTACTCATGGGGGTGAACTGGAACTTTTCTAAACATAAACATTGCCTGGCAACCTTGTATCAGTGCCAGAGCTATACGGTATACCCACACCCCCATGAGTAATGGGCTGCCCTCGTTTTTTCTGTGATGCGTTCCTCGTGGGAGCAGAGAGAGCAGTATCATTGCCCATATTCAACATAGTTTGTGCTATAGTCCTGTCGCGGAGCGAAGGGCTATTGTTCTAGAGCTAAATTGAGTCGTACTCATAGTCATAATATGTCCTGATAATATCGCGTCGCATTACAGTATAACATAAAGGAACCTAACGTGGAATTATTGCAGGACAGTGGGCTATGCTATAGCCAGTGGTGCAATCAAATTAGCACCTATCCTAGCTGGCAACGTGTTTGGCTTTCGACCGTTATAAACTAAACTCAAATTCAACTCGCCACAATTTGATCAAATTTGGCCGTTTATCGAACGCAAACGTTCACATGAGAAACATTCTCAACCATATTTAAATTTAAAGCCAGATTATTCTCCTTTGCATTTCTGCAGATAGTGACTGTT